GTCATTGTTGTTGTTGGATTAGCAGAAAACTGCTTAACTCTGTGAACAAATTTTATTCGATTAAAATATTGAATGCGCTTATGCAACGCTGAGTCTTCAGTATTATTATTTGTGTTGACTACTTTTGGCTACACAGCGTTCTTATTAAATATCGAATGCACTTACGCAACGCTGAGGCGTAGCGTTCTTGTTATTGTATTTGGATAGAATTCCTATAATGCTAACTTACATATATATATACATACATATATTACTTTTCATATCAATTCAAGTCTATTACATGCGCCCATATATGTAATACTTCTATATTGGCAGTAAGCTAACTTCCCAATGTGTAAGCATTCCGAAATCAAAGCGAGACAGTCTAGTACGGCTTTTGTGTATGTATTGGGGATGTTTCGAATGCCATATTTATCACATTCCGAATGCGCGAATGCGAATGTTAATTCATCGTTTTTATTACTTAAAAATTTGGAAATTTTTAGAACATTGAACGAGTGCTTAACCTATACAGTGTTTTAATCTTATAGTCAAAGTTCAAAATGGGCATATTATATTTCAAAAAAAGTAATTCTGCTGCCTTTTCTCCCATGAGGCGATTTCTTAGAGGCTCGTATATAAGGCCGGCTGTACTAATTGCTCACTTGGAACGGCTTGGAGGTTGCTTATACGACTTTTAGCAGTACATACTTGTTAAAAGCCCATCAATGTTGCTTGATATACTACTTAACCGTTTAGCGCCTGAAGCTAAAAGCCGGTTATTGCCCGCAACCTGGTTAGACAGACTTAGAGCCATTTCAACAACATTAGTGTGGACAGTCTGCCCATGTACACATCCGCATTCGTATCATTTGATGCGAATGCGAATGCCGAATTCGAATGTGTAAAATGATGCGAATCATTCGCATAACGAATGCGAATGCAAATATTCGCAACGTCCCTGGTATGAATTGTGTACGTGAGTGCCGTTTTTGTGAATGTGTTGTGTATATGTATATTTATAAACGTATGTGTCCCTTTTCTTTTGTACGGTTTTATTGATATATCTGTGCTGAAATGTTTTCGGACATTACTAGCTCTTACTGCCAATATAGAATTATTACATATATGCATGCGCCCCACGCTTTTCATTTTCAATCTCATAAATTGTTTATAATGCCTTTTGCTAAAATTTCAAAATCAAAAGTTACTTTTTAGTCCATTTATAAAACCACGCATATTAAAAAGTTTTTTATTTTATTTATTTTCTACTTGTTAGTCTTGTCTGTATAAAATTTTGCAATAGATATTAAAATAATTCAATGATATTAATAGATTGATGCACACACATGCATATGAATATGTATGTACATACATACGAGCACCAATTAATTTCATTTAAAGCACTGCTGGTCACTGCCTTGCCCGCGTGCAAAGCTCTTTTAAGCTTTCAATACATTTTTTGTATAGGCGCATGCAGAGTGAAAGCTCTCTCTGCCCATTGCTGATTTAAAGAAATTGCGTGTCGTCCATTTCCACTGTAGCGCACGTAGTGCATACGGCGACATCTACCTGTCAACCGTAGAGGTAGATGTCGCCCTATGCACTAGACTTTTTTATAGGAACTTTGCAAAGCAAAGGTTTTATAGCAAAAATGGTGTCTGGACACACATCACATTGCAAGTTGATAAAAGCGTTGTAAAAATGAACACGAGCAAAGTTAAAACTAGTGAAAAATACGAATGGTAGACGCGAAAGAAGACCCTATAACATGAAATATCAGTTAGTTACGTAAAAATGTGTTAAAATAGTTCTTGTTTTGTTTGCTTCCACTTACGTTACGCTTAACTTTTGCTTTGATCTCTAACGGTTATGTTATTTTTATTGTAATTCAATCATACTTTAATATGTTGAAACAGTTATTGTTTTGTTTGTTTGTATATTAGGGTGTGACCAAAAACAGTGAAGTCGGAACTTTAATGCTCTAACCCCCTAGAACTGTTCTACGTCGAAAAAAATTATACCGCTATTTTTATTTTGAAATCAAAAAATATTTTGAGGTCGCTCAAAGCGCTTAAAGTTTTCCATGTATTTTATATGGGGGAAAAAATAACTTATCGTAGAAATGGTATGGAATTCTTGAAAATCAATAGCGGTATTCATCTAAGCTGATAACTTTATCAAGCAAATAATCTTATAAGTTTACGCACTCTGTTTCATGAACGACCCAGACTCTCTTTTCGTTTACACTTGTGACAATAGTCGTGTTTTCTTTGGTTATCGAGCTCAGTATCACTAACTATATATTACTAGCACGAGGATAAAGAAATTATAGAAACTAACTCATTAAATGGGAAAAAATTATGATTTATTTTGGAACGGATTTCCGTCATCCCTTGCCAAGTTTGGTTTGCAGACAAACTGGTTTCGGCATTGTGCCATTTTCAGTGTCATTTTTCGGAAAAAATTATATTTTCGAGATAATATCTATTTAAATAAATGCACATATAACATAAACGCGATTTATTTGAAGCAATTGTAAAGAAACAATGACAGAACATCTGTTTGTGTATGAATTCATTTGTCACTGCTACCACACTGTGCTGCCGAATTATCAGTGAAAGAAAACAAACAGAACGGTTAATAATTTAACCAGTAGTACGGTTCTTAATCTAAATTTAACCACATTTCACGTTGTTATCTCTAGTTAACAACTTTTTTTTGGGGTTAAGTGATTGTGTATCAACGTTAACCCTATTTGTCATTGTTTAGTGTTAACAAACGCAGTCAGCTATTTGGTGACAATTATTTTTGTGGTTAATAGCATCTAGTTTTTCATTGTTAAGCTGTTGTTTGCAAACTTTTCTGTGAAGTTAAATTGAGGAAATTGAGAAAATTGTGAAAATTGTGTTAAAAATGGCATTTGCATACATTGCATCATATTTATATGATAATGATAATGAGCAGCCATTAAACGTGCCAAGAATTGACTGGCGTAGGCTTCGCGAAGTCGATAACCCTTTCGAGCTAACGCCAACGGAGTTCCGGAGGCTATATAGACTTAGTCCCGGCATGGCTGAAAATTTTGTGTCGCAACTTGACAATCAATTAAGAGGATCGCGAATAACAGCGTTATCGACCGAAAAGCAGGTAAATCAATATATATTTCAACTTTATTAAATATTATAGGTGCGTTCCAGCGGTAGTACTAATTGCAGGGTCTGAAGGTTTCAAGGATTTACAGGAAAAGCTGTTTTTACCTTTAATAAACCTTATGTGACGTGGAACAGCTTTTCCTGTAAAACGTACAATTCGTATTACCGCTAAAAAGCATCTTATATAAGCATGTGTTTATGTACTCGTTGAAGGTTCTAGCTGCTCTACGGTTTTATGTCACTGGATGCTATCAACGCCCAGTGGGAGAACAGTGGGGCATATCCATGAGCCAAACATCGATAAGCCGTTGCATACACCGTGTGACTGACGCAATCAACAATTCAATGTTTACTACCAAAGTGAAGTTCCCTATGACGCAACTGGAGTGCCAAGCGGCAAACGAAATTTTTGCGTCTGCATCTTCACCATTTGTAGCAGGAACTATCGGTGCAATCGACTGCACTCATGTTTCAATTTTGGCTCCCAAAAATAATGAATCCAATTATGTCGATCACCATGGGTACCATTCAATGAACGTGCAAATGGTAAGAACAAATCTACAACATGAAAAAAATTATATAGTTATTTTATAATGGTTCAAACTTATAGATATGTGATCCAAATCTTAAAATTTTAAACGTGAATGCAAAATTTCCGGGAGCGCGTCGGGTCATGCCGCGATCATTTGAAACTGGAAATCACAACACGTTTTTGATTGGTAAAATGTTTTAATTCCATATGAATAGGAATATTAAAAGAAAATAATTACAGGCGATTCTGGATACCCACTGGAGCCATGGCTGATGACTCCTTTACCAAACGAGCCAGAAGGAACACCAAAGTTTCGCTACAACGAGGCGCTATGTAAAGCACGTAACCCGATCGAGAGACTCTTGGGCGTCCCTAAAGGCACATGGCGGTGCTTATCACGGCAAAGAGTACTTTTGTATGACCCCGGTTTTGCTGACCGAGTAGTTAACGCGTGCGCAACATTGATAACGTTCGCTTGGGCGATCAAGCAACCGATTTTGACGATCGGGTTGTTTATGATCCCGAAATATTAAGCACTAATGACAATTCCGCAGCACCTTCTTCAGTAGCGAAACGTGTTCAGCAACGAATTATAGCTAATATTCGCATAACTTAATATATGCCGTCAACGGTCGTCTCGATGATAGGGCAGCCATCCACCGAGGGACGGATGTAAGTACCATTAGAGCAAATTATATCAACTTATTTATTTTACTTCAGCTCGCATTTATCATGAATGATTGCGTTTATTTTCTAGACTTATTCAATGCACGTTAACGTGCCTTTGTTTGTCATCAGTTTTTTTATCATCTTCAACAATATCAACAGTATTTATTTTTCACGTTCAATGAACATACTTGGCAAGCTGTTAAATGGCACCGCTAAAACTGCGAACTTACCAGCTAATTTTATTGATTTTTATAGTTCCAATGAAAATGTTCCACACCTGCGCTGGCTTTATTAGAAATGTATGTACGATTGCTCGTTCATACGAAATCGAACCGGTGCACAGTGCCGCGAAGGTGGACAAAAATACAAAAATCGACTGTCTTGAAACTTAGATGTTTTGATGTTAAGTTACAGCTAAATCTCCAACTAAGAGAAGTTCATAAGTTATTTTGTGATAAAAACAACTTTCAGCCTCACACACCCCCTCAAAGTACACCGATTTTCTACATACCATTTCATTTCGGCGATTCGCACATAAAAGTGGTCGCAGTTAAAAATTTGTTAAAAATACATTTTTATTCCTAGCAAGATCAACTTTTGCACTTTGATAAAGATATATGCGACAAACCAAGAAATGTATGGTTCATGGGAAAAAAAATTTATACAAATATTTTTTTTTTATTAATAAATAAATATATGATTAAACATACCAAAATCCGAAAATTGGTAAACTTTGGAGACAAAAAAAAAAAACATCTTGAAAGTTCGTGAAATTCCTTTTTTGGTTATGGTAGTTTGGACCTTCTACTAACAGAAACAATCGAAATCTCTTCCAACTTTTTCCAATATTTGAAAATTTTCAATTTTGAAAAGGTGACTAAATGCCTTTTTTTTGGTATTATTTTAGCTGATCTATATTTACAATACTTTTTCTGAATGCCCTAAGATCTAAATTTTTGGTTCGCTTTTCAAAAATAAGGTATTGAATTAAAGCTAAAAGTGCCAAAAAAAAAATTAAGAGGTACAGGGTGCTTTGAAATGAAAAAAATTATCAGCTAATTAAAATACTTAAATATGCATCACGGTATGGGAGCCAAAAACAAAGGTATACGAAGATTTACATATATATATATATACATATATATATATATATATATAGAGCAATGACACCAGTTTACAAATAATATGTTAACCAATGATTAGACGAAAGGCGAACAAAAAGCAAATAAAAATAAATAACATACCTATTACTCTTCATCTGCATAAAGAGTACTATTTTGCTTAAACAGCAAACAGCTTGCGAAAATGATAATACAAATGTATGCACATCATGGAGGTCCAATTTTTTTATATATTTTTTTTTTTTGATTGAGTCTTTTTATAATTTTGTTCACCTAACTAATTACATTACCTGTGCAAAAATTTCAACGTTTTACTATTAGTGGAAAATGTAGCTCAACGCGAGTTTAAAATTTCATGAATTTTTCTCTGGTGCTAAGAGTCCTCTCTTGTGGAAAACAAATAAAAACCCAAGAGTTTAGTGTTTTGTTGAACGAAACAAGAGAGTTATACCTTAGAAATTATGGTTGGTATAACATGCCAAGTTCAGTGCATAAAGTTTTAGTACGTGGACGTGATGTAATTAAATACTTTGATTTACCAATAGGTAATGATTTTGAAGCTATGTTTTCATTTATTTTCTTATTCTGTATTTCCACCTAATTTATCAGGTTCATTATCAGAAGAAGCCTTAGAATGTTCACACAAAAACATAAGAAAATATCGGCTTAATCGTTCTCGAAAAACTGGAAGAGTACAAAGCAATACGGATTTAATGACTCGTTTGATATTATCGTCAGATCCATTAGTTGCATTTAAAAGAAATATAAAACAGAGAAACAAATATTTAAAGGGTTCTGATCTCAGCTTTAATAAATACATTGTTGAAAGTGACGAAGCAGACAAAAGCATGGAATCATTTGAATCAGTGATCACTTCCTCCTCTTCTGAGGACTCTGAAACTGAGTGATTATAACAACTAGTTCGGTTTTTATTAACATATTATATGTTATTACCATATAACAGCTATTATTACTTACTTACTTAACAGTGATTATGCTTTATTTTAAATGAAATCAAAAGAATTTTTTTTTCTAAAGGTTAACATGTAAGGAAAACCGACTTAATTTTTCAAATTACCATAATGTATTCATTTAGGAAGTAAAGTTTAGACGAATTTTGACTATTAAGACTATTTTTCTGAACACTTAGCAACAATGATATGCCATATTTCATTTTTAAATAATCATGTGCAAAAACTCGGTGTTTTTTTAATGGGTACCCGTTACAAAAAAACCGATTACTTTCTTAAAATTAGAGTAATATAGACACTTCAGATGTAAAGTTTCAATAAATTCTGACGACTCCTTCCTGTTTTCGTAAACACCACAATCAGCAATGATTATGCCTTATTTGTCTTTCATATAGTAATGTAAAAAAAAATCTTTTTTTTTTAATGGGTACCCGGTACCGAAAAATCGATTTCATTTTTGAAATAAGCATGGGTTAGTCCTTTTAGGTGTAAAGTTTCAACAAGTTCTGAATACTATTTCGGTTTTTATAAACATATGTCTACGATGATTATGAGCTATTTTACCTTTTTATAAAATTGTAAAAAAAAAAATTTTTAATTAAATGGTAACAGATGCTGAAAAACGTTTTTTTTCTTAAATTGCCGTGATATAGTCCTTTCAGGTGTAAAGTTTCAGCCCATTCTGATGCCTCCTTCCACTTATATCAACACATGTCCACAATGACTATTTTCATATAAAAATGCAAGAAAAACTCGGTTTTCTCGAAATGAGTAACCGGTACAGAAAAACCGATTTCATTTTTGAAATTAGAGGGGCATAATACTTCTAGGTGTGAAGTTTCAGCCAATTCTGACCACTCCTTCTATTTTTGTCCATCATTTGTATGGAGTCGCGGCACTGTGCGGTGGGCATTAAAAGGATTCTTGCGTAAGCTATTCGGAAGAAGCAAGCTAGGGCTGTGCAATTAATTGATTATTCAAAACCTTAATTAATATCGTATTAATCATTATGATATTTTAATTGTAATAGTTGCGTTGCAGATGCTTCACGATTTGTAGGTTTTTACAGGAAGTCGTTCCAGGTGACCACCTTCCTTAAGGTTTATTAACGGAGGAAACAGTTTTTCTGCAAATCCTGCAAATCGTGAAGCATCTGGAACGCAACTTTTTTGCTAACCGAACAACTGATTCACCAACTTGCTCGAGTAATCGAATATTCGCACAGCCCTAAAGCATTTTCCATAATTGTTTACATTTTCATTAACTCTTATAGAGCAATTGTTGCCCGCTGTTTCCAAGCATCAATACAGCCTATACTGCTGAAAATGTTCCTATATCGTTTACATAACCAACCCAACAGCGCCCTTACACTGTATGGACGTTTCGCTACAAACCAATAAAAAACAATTGAATTTGTCAGTGTCGGCTGATCACTGGGCTAAGGTGAAATGCAGAGACAAATGTCTCGTTATTTCAGCGAAAAACTACCTGGTTCTGTGGCATCGAGCGGGAGTGATGATCTGAATCGTGTGTTGATACTAACGCTGGCATTTTCTATGCAGATGACTAGACTTGGTGAGTTTTTATTTTTTAAAGTACCTTTAAAAATTTGTAAGCTTCGCTCTTTCTTCCGACATTCTCTACTTGACCTCGCTAGCTTGCTTTCCATCTGTTTTAATGCATTTTTCGTGTAAAATAGTCATCCTTTGGAGAAAAAGCATTTGCTTAAAACATCAGTCGAAGAAGAATACCGTAACTGGACATCGATGTCAAATGGCTACGACAATGAATCATATTATGTGGCCTAGAGCAAGATCACTTTTCCTTTGTTTACTTTTCAATATGATTTGGGAAACGGAGACCGTCAATACAGTGGCATATATGTATGTAAGTGCGTACTCGCCATACAAAAGTTGTTTGCTTTCAATTTAAAACATTTAAACAAACTTGTGTTATAGAATCTTGGAGGACTTTAGCGCACGCGCCTTTTCAGCACCGACTGTTTCTTCAATGAATTCCCCAATGCACCTGCAACTTAGTTTGCCAATCGCGCCCTCAATTGTAGCAGGTAATGTGGTGGGTGCTGTTGTGAAGGGTTATTCATTGACACCACAAAAAGAGATACAAAACTACATCAATGCTGTTGGCATAATACTCGCTGCTCTGCCTAAGAAATATTGGAATGCAAATGAACACCATGGGTAAAATTGCGTGTTCTGTTTGGTATTATTTTCAAAGGGATGTGTAAACATATATCCTTATTTCAGTGAGCCGCTGATATGTGTCTTCAGTTGGTGCTGCCTTCAGTAAAAATTGTGAAGACTCGCTGGTCGCACTAAAATCGCTGCAAGAAATTATGTATGACAATGCAGACAAATTGGCGTCACTTACTAACGAGGGAACAGCGGAAACAAAGATGAGGAGTTTGCAGGGTGAGTTGAGTTTAGCGGGAAGTTTAGTACCTTTTTAAAGCTGTTATTACTTTCTTGTACGTAGATTGCATAAAATATTTGGCTAAATATCACCATTGAAAGCACAAAGATTACAACGAAAAACAACCACGCCAAAGAGGAGTTTTATGTGCCTAGTCAAGCATTTTTAACATCGCTAATACAAATTTTCCCAGCCATTTTCTAGCACATACAAAAAAGGTGATGTAAGCCATAAAATATAAGTGAATTCAATTTCTAAATAAAATTATTGCAGATTTATTTAATCTGACTTTGAAAAGTTTTGCGTTGTGCCGAGGTATTTTATTGTATTTAGCTATATTTCAACTATAAGAAAATTATTTTATGACATATATAGGAAGCCATGGACGATACATTCAATAATAATCGCAAAAGTTTATTGGTAACAACTGCGGGGGTAAATGCATCATTGAATTCGAATGTTTTCACTGGGCGCTTGGCGGTTACTGCTTTACTACATCGATTCCAAGAAGTTTTGAAGCGTTCCAATGACGACGAACGGCTGATGGGCGCCGTGCAAGGGTCACAATAGTTCATTCCGGGGTATTGATCGTAACCAGGGTGGGCAAAAACTCGGAGTTCGAGCGAGCGAGTGAGAAAACTCCTACTCAATGCCTCGCAGACAACGAGGCGCACGCAGCTCGTACTCGTAGCAGCAATGAGGCGAGGCACGAGAAGTTTGGCTCGCTCGCCAAACGAGCGAGCGCTGCTTGTTTGCTCGCGCTCCTATTAAATGAGCGAGGCTGTTAGGTGTTACCTCGATCGCAGTGCGAGGCGAGTAGCTGTCTGCATACTCACTCTGCTAGGAAAGACGAGTGAGCGACGAGCGAGCGGTTCGAGTGTACTATACAACACATGCATTTTTGTGCATAAAAATGTGGGAATGTATGTCAATAGATTATGTACGAAAGTATGTTAATAATTGTATGTACATATGCATATATATATGTGAAGTATTATATTAGGGCAGCATTTAAAACAACAATAAAATTGATTACATACATAAGCATAGATTATGGAATGAATTATTTTTTAGAGTTATATTCATACATGTGTACACACATAACATGCATATTTATATATGTTAGTATGTACTTATTTATGTATATATGCATTTATATATGTATGTACATATGCACACTGAGAAAAGAGTTTAGTTACGTCAACTAAATATGTTTTCCTCAACACATGATTTGGTTATAGTTACATTATTTGGTTTTAGTTACCAAATCATGTGTTGAGACAAACATATTTTGCATATTTTTTTCTTAGTGCATGTATTTTGTCTTTACAGGGAAAAGTAAGTAACGAAGATATTATAATCGTTTGTGCCGCAGAAACAAAAAACAAGTAAGCACTTGCTAACACCCCCAAAATAGTTTTCTACTTGTAGCAGTTATGCTGTATACCTGAATGAAATATAGTCCTTGGTGAAAA